GCTTTAAGCTGCCTGGCTGCTGGCCGCCATCTTGGCTGGCAGTTAATTTGCATATCCCCCTGATTAGCCAATGGGAAGGGTAGCGGCCGTACAGCTAATTACCATGTTTCTCTTTTATTAGATAGGATTTGTGGACCATACAAAATTATCAAACTAAAAATTAACCCATTATATTTGATCAAACTTAATTAACTCACCCTTAATGCCTTGGAAAGACTAGACCAAATGATTTCTTAGGCCTTATATGGCCCAACGGCCAGACATTCCTTACCCCTGATCAAGATAATGAGAGCATTACTGGGTGTGCCCTCGGTCCTAGGTTCTCAAGTATCTGAAAGGGATGTAGAAAAGAGTTTTCAAATAAAATCTCTCAAATTTGAGTTTAGCCTCAAAAACATTTCCTCATTTGAACACCAGTCAGAATTCTGCCAAAGCCACTGACCTAGCATTCAGAAAGGACCTTTAATTTCAATTTATATATAAAGAGGTAATAAGAAAAATTAGCCAGAACGCTGTAACTGGTCACGACCAAACCATTAGCATATTGGCTCTTTATTAATGCCTATGCATGCTGCGGGGCGTTGCTCCGGAGATGGGGTAGAAGCAGGGAGGCGCCGGGAGAAGGTGGGACCAGCCTGAGGCAACTCGAGGGTGGGCAGCACTGCAGGAGAAGGCAGAAGGGAGAAGGTATAAGGGAGAAGGTGGCAGTTAGGCAGGGTGATCAGGCCAGGACGGGAGAGCAGATAGGCAGTTAGGGGGATCAGGCCAGGATGGGAGAGCAGATAGTCAGTTAGGTGGATCGGGCCAGAAGGAGAGAGCAGTTAAGGGCATCAGGCAGGCAGGCAGGTGAGTGGTTAGGAGCCAGTGGCTCTGGGTTATGAGAGGGATCCTGGATTGGAGAGGGTACAGACCAGGCTGAGAGACTCCCCTCCCCCGTGCACAAATTTCGTGCACCGAGCCTCTAGTCTATTTCAAATAAATGGGCTAATAAATTATTGGGAGTCAGTGCATAGCCCAGGATCCTATTCATGTCTTAGCAATTATGACTGAGTCATGATTTTTTAGAATTTTTCATTGACAGTATTAAATTAATAGATTATAGCAATTACAAAGCAGTGATCACAAAAATAGCAGTGTCTTTTTAAATAAATACTTTAAGGATTCTTCAGTGTGGCTTCATCCTGTCTGGCTATTATATTCTAACTAGAGGACCGGTGCACAAAAATTTGTACATTCGGGGGGGAGAGGGGGTCCCTCAGCCCGGCCTGTGCCCTCTCGCAGTCTGGGACCCCTCGGGAGATAATGACCTGCTGGCTTAGGCCTGCTCCCAGGTGGCAGAGGGCAGGCCCAATCCCTAGGTGCAGCCCCTGGTCAGGCTCAGAGCAGGGCTGATTGGGGAGTTGGGGCGCC